AGAAAATTTTTTTGGTGAGTTTTCTGTTTATATAGCTTGTTAGAGATTATCCAAAATCAGTTAGCGTTTCTGTTACAAATTCTATGAGGAAGTTGGTTAGAGATTTGTGAAGTTAGTTATAAGGTTAGAATCTTGTTAAAGTTAGTTAGGAGTTAGTTTGGATTCTATTTCTGTCTTTTTTGTATTTCTGCTAAACTGGTTTTGATTTATTTCCTCTGCTTTTTTTGCTACCGAGTCTTTTCTGATTTCCCCGGTAATCTCCTTTCCACTAATTTTCTGTTATGACTTCACCCCCAGTTTCCTATTTTGTTTAGAAGTTTGTTAGAAATCGGTTAGGTGGTTAGAGAGTTTGTCATTGGCAGTTAGTTGCACAATAGAAGGTGAGGATTTAAAATGGGTTTGGGTTATTTCTTCTGAATTTATTTCCTGATGCAAAAACCTTCCTTTGCATTTTCTGTTATGTTACACGACTTCCTCTCTTTATTTTCTGAGTTTTTTCTAATCTGAATAATTTTCTCTCACTTTCTCAACTAATGCATGGCGGTTTTGGTTTTTTCCTTCTTCTCTGAAAACACACAACAATAGCGATCTCCTCCATTTTTTGCCTTCTTCTTCGATGATTCATTTCCAATTTCGCTATCTAAAATCATAACACTCTGCTTACAAATGAAAGGTGTTGCCATAATCTTATCCTACTACACTTGCTCGGTCTCTTTTCTCAGCATCGTCGTTGGTGTTCAACAACTCTCATATCTCGAACTTCGTTCACACTGCTTGAGGCTTCAGTTCGCACCTCATCCCAAATTTTGCCTCAACATCGCCCTCTTCTCTCTGTCTTAACTATTAGTTGCTTCCATCTCTCTCACGGCACCACGAAATCAACACAGCAACAACAACGTTTATAGAACAATGAAGAAGTGAAGTGAATCGCGGCCTACCTACCGAAATATCATTCGGCGCGTCTTCGATGTTGACGATTCCGATGAGAAAAATAGAAGAAACCCCTCAGCAACTCAGGCATGCACTTCCAATCCTTGCTATGAACTTCGGCAATTCGTTCATTCTTCTTCTATTTCATTTTTTGATTCGTAATTGATGAATGAAACCACTGTGTTGCATAAGTGATGAACGATGACGATGTTGAAGTGCAGAAAGAATTCCGAGTTTGTTTTTGTGAGATTTGGTGATTCTTCACAATGGTTAAAGAATGATGAAGATTGACTAAGATTTGATGAAGCTTTTGCATAAGAATTTAGAGAATTGAAACCATGAGAGGTGAAGTTGCAGAGAGAGAGGTTGGTGTTTTCTCTGTGATGGTGATTCTTCAGAGAGTTTTCAGAATGAAGATGAATATGAGAGGAGAAGAAATAGGTTTATGGAGGAATCAGAGAGAGAGCCGAGATTTTTTCCTATGATGGTTCACCCGAGATTGAAGAGAAAAAAATTTGGTGAGTTTTTTGTTTATATAGCTTGTTAGAGATTATCCAAAATCAATTAGCGTTTCTGTTACAAATTCGATTAGGAAGTTGGTTAGAGATTTGTGAAGTTAGTTATAAGGTTAGAATCTTTTTAGAGTTAGTTAGGAGTTCGTTTGGATTCTATTTCTGTCTTTTTTGTATTTTTGCTGAACTGCTTTTGATTTATTTCCTTTGCTTTTTTTGCTACCGAGTTTTTTCTGATTTGCCCAGTAATCTCCTTTCCACTAATTTTATTTTATGACTTCACCCCCAGTTTCCTGATTTGGTTTGGAAGTTTTTTAGAAATTGGTTAGGTTGTTAGAGAGTTTGTTATTGGCAGTTAGTTACACAATAGAAGATGAGGATTGAAAATGGGTTTGGATTATTTCTTCTGAATTTATTTCCTGATGCAAAAACCTTCCTTTGCATTTTCTGTTACGCTGCACGACTTCCTCTCTTTATTTTATGAGTTTTTTCTAATCTGAATAATTTTCTCTGACTTTCTCAACTGATGCAGGGCGGTTTTGGTTTTTAACATGGCTTGAAGTTGCAATTTTGGTGAAGGTTGCGTATGGTTGTTTTGGTTTTTAATAGGTGCGGGAGCTGGTATTATGAATTGTTTCATGGTTTTTTCTGATATGTGCAGGGTTAATTAAATCTTTTGTTACTCGAATTTGCGAACTGAGCTGGTATGGAGAACTTGCAGGTTTCCGGACTGGTTTTTGCTCAGCGCAGAGGGCGTCTTGGAGAAAGATTCATCAAGCATTTTTGGGGCTTATTTGGCATGATTTTGACAATTATATGCAGGGTTGGTTTTGTCTATCTGTCACCTTAGTTTTGAAAGAGAACGTGGAATTTGGTTGAGGCATTCGAAGGCAAGGCATGATGAAAGTTACTTGGAGAAAATGAAGAAAGCTTAGGACATTAAGGTTAAGACAAACAATTTATATAGTTTTTTTCATGTATTTGATACACTTTGAATGTAGTAACTTGTAATAAGAACCTCTTGAATGTTTGGTCCTTCTTTTTAATGAAATGTGTTGTGATAAGTAATGGTGTAATGAACATGAGATTTTGATAATGATGAACTTTGCTTTTTTTGCTTGAATGAGTAAAGAGGAATTTTGAATTAAGCTTGAAATGATGGGTGATGAAATTTATGGATGGAGTTTGAATGACAAAGTATTGAACTTGAACTTTTAAATGGATTATGGAAAAAATGCCTGAAGCTGTGCAAGCATCAAATTTTTTTGTAAGGTATTATTACACTTGAATAAAATTGAATAGAATTGGATAGAATTTGCTTGAATCATGAATGAAAGGGTTTAAATAAAGTTTTAATTCATATGAACTTGAATCTTGAATAATATTGAACATCTTTGTAATATGGATGAACTTCGACTTGAAACAAGACCTTGCAATTTATACCTTATCTTCTAAGAAATTCAGACGACCAATACTTAAGGCTTTTTGACAACTTTGATCCAATCAACTACCTTTGACATTTTGATCATCTTGAATTCAAATTAAACTTCAAATGCAAATTACACTCACATTCTCAATGAACTCCTAACTTTAATCTTAATTCAACTAACAACGAAGAGATCGCGTTGATCAAGGATTAAGTTCTGGAAAGAATCATGGGATGGTTCTCCTTTCATTCAGAGCTTAAATGTGCAAACTGCTTTAGACCTCAATATCAACTTAGACATGCGGGTTTCAGAGATTTTCGTCAATAACTCTTGGAATGTTCCCTTAGCTTGGTATGAATTTTTTCCTTTCTTAGAAGATAGACTTGAATCTATATTTTTTGTTGATAATTTGAAGGATGACATGTTATGTTAGAATCATTCCACTAATGGAATATTGGATTCCAAAGAGGCTTTTAGGTTTATTTCCAAACAGTCCCTAATTCTACCTCGGGTTGTTTCTCTTTGGAATAAGTACATCCCTCCTTCTAAATTGTTACTAGTCTGGAGGTTGCACCATAATAAAATCCCAACTGATGAGAAATTGAGAAGTAGGGGTTTCATGTGTGTCTCTAAATGCTCTCTTAGCAATTGTCAGGAAGAAAATACATAACACTCACTAGTGTAGAAAAGACATTTTACATCGGGTGAAAAGCACATTTTACATCAGGCCTGAGTCCGATGTAAAGTTAGGCGATGTAGTAAATCAAAGATATTTTACATCGGTTAATAGTCTGATGTGAAAAATGCACCTACCATATCAGTTAGTTGCCTATTAAGTCTGATGTGAAAAATAATACAACTTTATTTATTTTTAAATAAATGTAATTTTTAACATCGGTGACTTTAATGGCCCGAGGTAAAAGATGTGTTTTCACATCTGTGGCCATAATGGCCCGGTGTAAAAGATGTGTTTTCACATCGGTGGCTGTAATGGCCCATTGTAAGTTGTAAAATGTTTGTATTTTCGTAAAAAAAAATTACTATTTTTTAGCGGGTTCCGTGTAATTTTTTTTGTACCTACTTTTTCATATTTTTCCAACATCACACATATCATATTTAGATTCCTATTTTTCATAGTTTTCCAACATCACACAGACCATATTTAGGTTCCTATTTTTCATAATTTTCCAACATCACATAGACCACATTTAGGTCGCAAGTTTCATATTTTTCTAACCAACCTAATTTCATTCCACCGAATAGCTAGGATGCACATATATATTCTTCAAAATGAACAATTAATTTACAAAAGTAATAATCTATGATACATATAAGTGTAGAAAATTATAAGGAAGTTTATACGGTGGACTACAACAACAAAACAAATAAAAATAGTCATCCATTTATAAGTCATTTCCCACACTTGAATTACCAATATGAAATCCACAAGTAGATGAGTTATAGCTTCGGTAGAAAACATCAAAATCACATTGGCTGATAATAATTAATAACACCAATTAACATTAGCAGACAACACCAAAGTCAAGAAACTAAAATTATATATATATATATATATATATATATATATATATATATATATATATATATATATATATATATATATATATATATATATATATATATATATATATATATATATATATATAACTCACCAGAGAATTAATTTTTATAGACATCAAAGAAACATTTTTCCAGGGTATGTTTACCGGTTAATATGATCTTTTTGTGTGCGAAAACAACTTCAAAACATTTTGCCAGGGTATGTTTACCATTTAATCTGATCTTTTTGCTAACGTTTGGCGATAGAGGGGATCCACAGAAGACGCAATTGGAAAAAAAAAATACACGGTCAGCATTAAATAAACCTTAATCCCACAACGTAAACACAAGTAACAAATAACATGTGATTTGAGATCACCATCAAACTTCTTTACATTAAGAGCCTTAAAATATGATTACAATGTTGACAAAGGTGACAACTGCATGAATAAACATCACTTAGGCACTTAAAAATATCAATAAATTTGAAGTTTGATTATTCAGACCAGTTCAAAGATCATAAGAACTAACCTTTGTAATGATTCCATTCTTGCTATTTCTTATCCTCCTTCTACATTGACACTCTCCGGAGAAGGTGTTTGAACATCATGACATTATTAAAAATTAGAACTAGTAAAGAATAAAATGTTAAATTTCCAACAATAATGAGTAGGCAATGAATTGTTAAAAGCTAGAGTGGATAAAAAATTTCTATTAAAGAGTAGAGCATTTAATAATGGTATACAATGTTACCTAGTAGCAGCACCATGCATCTAGCGAGGATGCATGAACAACTGAGCAGTTCCCCACAAAACACTCTTTTTACCCTATATGAAAAGGCGGAAAAGTTGTTTTATCAACATTTCATAATGTTTATTTGAAGTGAAGCTTAATTCCTGTACGTATGTATTGATTTGAATAAAATAAATAAATTTTTTCTACCTTAAGTTGATTAGCTTAAAACAACTATTATAGATTAAAATATTCATTCATGTTAAATTACCTTAGTCTTAAGCTCTTGACCAAGAGCCACCACTTCATCCATGTTTGCATTTGTTTCCTAAGACAAAGTCAACGAGTGCAATCGAATAGCTCAGAAAGAGTATACAACCATAGTCGTAGATTTACCGAAACTCCCGTGAAATAGAGAAAAACGAAATCAATCATCGATTGAATTCTTGATTGCTATGATGTGTGTGAGAGTGTCACAAAATGGATATTGCATGAGTTTTTCTACACAGCAAACATATAACACAGCCACAACCATCAATTGATTTTAAGCCTACATAGAGAAACCTAAGCAGAAGAAGTTGAACAGAGGCAAACTGAACTCACCGTATTCTGGAAGATTTTCTCCGGAGCTCCACCACTGACCGTTGTGGAACCTCATTTTCTTCACATGGGTTTAAAGCTCTTTGCACATAAATAATTTCCCCTTTGTTTTTCTTAATTCTAGGGTTTCGTTTTTGTTTAGATCTAGGTTGTTTTGTTTGACTTCTGTAGATTCGAGTGTAGGATTTTCATAGAGGAAACAAAGACGAGTATTTTTGGGTGAAATTTGTGGTGGTTGATGGTGCTGTGCCGTCATTGAGACGGCCAGTGCGGCGGAGATGCCACTGTAATCTAAGCTTCGTTGAACATATTTAAATATGGAAGAGAGATAGTCTAGGAAGAGAGAGGGAAAGATTTATTTATTTCGTCTTTTTATAATTCGGTGTTATTTAGTTTAAGTATATGGTTCACATATATAACAATGATTAATAGGCATTTATTCTCTGTCATATGTGAGTTTTGATTGATTCCCTTTACAAAAAAAAAATTTTGATACAGCTTTTGAAATGTAAAATTTCTTTTAAAGGGGTAAATCAAAACTCATCTATATTGTAGGAGGGTAAATGACTATTAACCCATATAACAATAATACATTAAAAAAAAATGATCCAATATTTTTAAAATCGAACTGATCATCAAACCAAAGAGAGTACTAGGTCATTAATTCATTGATCGAATCACAAATTCACAGATTGAATGCATGACTAAATTAGATTAAATCAGATAACTCGGTTGAATAAACTGATCTCTATAACAAAGTTTTATAGTTATTAAATCAGTCGAACCGAATATCTCAGTCTTTAAACAAATCACGACACATACAAAATTTCACAAGTTGATTCTTTAAAATGAAATTTTAAACATAGTCATGACCAGGAGTGTCAATTTGCATCTGTTAATGGGAATCTCTGTGAGGATTTTCTGTTCGGAGCACCGAAGTTGGGGAATATTCCTCCGTTGAAACGAGGTTGGAGGAAAAAGTTTTCCCGATGACACTTTGAGGCGGGAATTGGTAAAGTATCCTCTGCCCCGTGGATTCCCCGACTCCGACCATATTATTTAACTTTTTTATTTTATATGATAATATATATATATATATATATATATATATATATATATATATATATATATATATATATATATATATATATATATATATATATATATATATATATATATTAATGTATTAGAAAATGAATAGTCATTAGTAAATTATTTTATTTTTATGTTTTATTGTATAATGTATTATTTCACCACTCAAGTATCCAATCCTAGAAAAGTGCACCCAATACATATAATGTACACATCGTTTCCTTTTCTTTTCACAATTATCTTTGTCTACTCTATTCATCATCTCATATGTTTTCATCATCATCACAACAATCACTCTCATTTATTTATTGTGCTTATGGTAATTACTCTTCAAATTCACTTTACTTCCATTAGTAACATGTTTTTCACTCAATTAATAAAGTAGTAGTTATGGATTCGTCACACTAACACATAATCAACCACTAGACGACAACGATACTGTGGTAGTAAATTAGCGGAAGTACGATAGCAACAAGTTTTTTTAATATTTTTTTTACAGATAAAGTATTAGCAACAAGTGATTTTTTTTTTTGTATATTGATGAAAGATGTATTTTTATTTTTATTTTTAAATGTAAAATATGTGTTTTTTAAAGAAAAAAAAATACTAGTGTTATAGTTTTGATCGAAAAATATAGAAATTTTCTTAACATTTGATTTCCGTGGAAATGCGGATGGGAGAAAATATTCTCCCATGACGAGAAATTGGGATGGGGAATAAATTTGGAGGCGGAACGGAGAAAACATCCTTCGAACGTTCTATGTTCCGTTGACATCCCTAGTCATGACATAAAAATTTAAATAAATTTTGAACAAAATTTAATTGCTACAAAAGATAAATTGAATAACAATAATTGCAATGTTTAATAAATTTAATTCTAATGAAAAAATATTCGAAATAAATTTTCAACAAAGTCTACTTATATTTAAATTTTATTTTTGTTTAATTTTTTTATCTAAACGACGTCGTTTTGTTTGAGAAAAAAATAACCCGTCAATTATCAAAAACCGATAGTCCATTGGTTTTTATCCGTTTTGACCGATTCTTACAGGTTTCCACTAATTCAATATCATGTCTGATCTATCATTTAGACCAGGCCAATGACACTTCCGATTCTCAATTTAATTAATTCGATAGACTGATTCAATCTAATTTTTAAAACATTAACTTGAACTATATTTACAATTAATATATCAAAACTAAGAAACGAGTATTTTTTTTCTAAAGTGGAATAAAATCAAAAAATTAATTAAAAGTACATGTTTTAATTTTTCCTTTATAACAAAATCCAAATCATTATTTTCTTCTTCTAAAACTATAAAGTTATTGACCATTGAAGGGTAGTTTCGTAAATTGAAGTGATTCATGATTTTAGTTCTAATTGCGAATATTATAAATTAAAATTTTCGAAGCATTACATGTAAAATTTTCGCATCGCGCTCATAATAAAACCGAACAACATTGGAATGGTCATCACCCTTTCTAGTGTAGTTTGTGACGATCAATGGACGGAAATGAAGAAGATTCTAGCTCTCAGGTTTCGATTCTCCATAATCTTGTTATTTCTCATGTGGCAATTGTTTCAAAGCATGTAATCGTTTTGTAATTTGTATAGATTGTTGAAGTTTACGAACATGAGGATGAGTGTATTAATTCTTGCATAGGAGATGGCTCTGTTGATTTTTATGGAAAACCAGCTTTAAAAGCTAGGACGGGTGGTTGGAAGAGTGCATCACTGTTATTAGGTAGGTATCCACATATTATGAACTATGATCACAAGTAACAATCACAAACGCCGATACATAATGATCACAAGTGTCAGTGTTGAGTTGTGTCCAACTGACGCAGACACACAGACACCTCATTTTTTAGAAGGATCGGTGCTACAAGATCCACACATATCCTTTATATTTAATTAATGGTTTGTTTGGATTGACTTAATTAAATTTATGTAATATAAAAAAGTTTGCGCGATTTTATGAAAACAACCTATACAATTATGGTTTTTTCGGCTTTATTGCATAATAAAACAGTCTATGAAACCAATTTATATGAAAACAAAGTGACTTTCCCTTACACTTTGTTGTAAAAATTGATTATATACTTAAGCACTTATATGATATGCGTGTCTGTTGTAAGTGAATTTAAATTGTTAAGTGCTTATATCAAATAAGTAGTAATGTGTATTCTATTTCGTATTTTTGCTTTTATGAAATTGTGACAGTGAATCAAGGATTGATTGCATTGGCTTTCTCTGGAGTTGAAGCAAATTTGGTTCTTTTTTCAAAGTTAGTATTGAAACAGACTAATGTTGAGGCAGCAAGCACTTTTAGCATATGGGTGGGAACCACTTATTTCTTCTCTTTAATTGGAGCTTTTCTTAGTGACTCATACTTGGAAGATACCTCACATGCATAATATTGTTTTCATCATAATAAGCTATCAACACGATAATAAGATTTTTTATCAGCAAAAGAATTTGTATATATTTTAAATGAGATAGACGGGGGAGTACGTGCGATATTCAAATATTCAAGCCTAAATTACTCTATCACTTATAAACATATTTTCAAGTCATATTTCATAAGAGGCTATTAATTAATGTCATTTAGATAACATCACTACTGGAAATTATTTTCCTGATATTTAGGTCTGATTAGTGTATAGTTCAGTTGATTTGTATTAGTTCAAATATAAAAATATATACCACAAAATTTTCCATCATATTAAAACCTATCTAAAATCAGTTGAACCACCTGTTATCAGTTTTCTGCTACCGAATCACCTACCATTTATATTTACATTCCAAATGTCTCGTCCTGAGCATGAGAGGATGTGTTGAAGTGTCTCACGTTGAAAATAATATAGTCTGTTTTCACATGTGTTTATAAGTAGAGACAATCCTCATCCTATAAGTCAGTTTGTATGGTGTATTTTTTTCCTTATTGCAAGATGTAAAACAATATCTATCTTGAAGATCGATTTTCCTTTACTTTTATGCAGGGCTTGGTGATATTATCTCTGTCAACTCACTTCTTTTTCCAGAAACCTCATGGTTGCGAACAAAAAGGAGTGTCATGTGAATCAAATATTCAAAATCAATTTCCATTATTTTATATAGCAATCTATCTAATAGCTCTAGGAAGCGGAGTTTCTGATCCTGCATTACCAACACTTGGTGCTGATCAATTTGATGAAGAAGAACCTGTTGAACAAAGAACAAAAACCTTAATTTATGGCTACTTTTATGTGGCTCTGAATTTGGGATCGTTGATTGCTGAGACTGTGTTGGCTTACATAGCGATTACAGGACATTGGGTGATGGGATTTTGGATATGTACTGGTTGTGCATGTGTTTCCTTTGTTGTTTTGTTGAATGGAACTCTTAGATATAGACACTATAAGAGTATTGAAAACCCTTTCTCTAAGTTTACACAAGTAATTGTGTCCTTTTTGAGGAAAGTGAAATCTCAAATACACTCAATTGGAGAAGGCTTCATTCAAAGGGATTATATTTGTGTTAGAAGAATACACCATTCAAATGGTCTCAGGTAACTCCCTTAACATTTTGAAGTAGTTTTTTGTTGGAAATCCACCAATACTCTATGATGAATTTCGACCACCACTGATGATTAGTTATGAAACAAACTAAGAAAAGACAATAGAATTATTTCTGCAGAGTTTCTCTCTGCCCACAAACTGTGGAAACTTTATTAATTCACTTTGCAACTGCAAAATACTGTGAATGAGTTCAATGACTTGAATTACAAAATAAGGGTTACTCCCTCTATTTATAGATTTAGGTTAGCTTGCTCCCTAAGCTAAACCCAAGCCCAAAATATCTCTTTACTAAATCAAATCAAATCTAGATTTAAATTCAAATCTATTTAAATCTAAACAAATCAAATCTTATTTTGACACCTATGAATTACAATTTAACACACCACCTAATTCATTGTGTCTAAACTGTCTATGTTCATCATGGCCCTTAGCTTTCTGAATACTTCGACCTGTACTCCCTTTGTCATGATGTCTGCAATCTGATTCTCAGTTCTGCAGTGTTCCAAATTCATCTTCCCATCTGCTACCCGCTCTCGAAGATAATGGAACCTCATTTCGATGTGCTTACTTCGACCATGTGCTATTGGGTTCTTCGCCAGATTGATAGCTGACATGCTGTCTATCTTCATGGTAATTGCTCCATGATTTTTCCCTGTTATCTCTTCGACCAAGTTCACCATCCAGGTTGCTTGGCATGCACAAAGAGAAGCAGCTATGTATTCTGCTTCACATGATGATAATGCTACTACTGGTTCTTTTCTCGAACTCCAAGCAATTGTTGCACCACCTAGCATAAACACATATCCTGCTGTTGACTTTCGATCTTCAGCATCACTACACCAACTCGAATCAGTGTATCCCACTAACTTGCATTCTTTTCCTTTATCAACTGCAGGAAACAAAATGCCATAATCGAAAGTTCCTTTGAGATACCTTAGTATCCTCTTCACAGCTGCTAGATGTGATACCTTTGGCTTCTGCATAAATCTACTTACCATACCTACACTGTATGCTAAGTCAGGCCTTGTATGACAAAGGTATCTCAATGATCCAATAAGTCTTCTGTATTGGGTTGGATCAACATCATCTTCATCTGCATATTTCGACAGTTGCAGTCTTGGTTCTGCAGGTGTCGAAGTTGAGTTGCATTCTTCCATCTCAAACCTCTTGAGAATTTCTCCTGCATATCTTCTTTGATGCATCATCAAACCTCTACTGCTCTTGTGAAATTCGATACCAAGGAAATATGAAATCTCACCCAAATCAGACATTTCGAATTCCTTGCTGAGATCAACTTTGAAGTCTTCAATCTCACTCTTGCAGCTACCTGTTATCAACAAATCATCTACATAGAGACATAGTATAAGCAATTTACTCTTGCTTCTTCTTACATATACTCCATGTTCAGTTATGCACTTCTCAAATTCCTTCTCCCTTAGAAAACTATCAATTTTCTTATTCCAAGCCCTTGGAGCTTGTTTCAAACCATACAGGGCTTTATATAGCCTGTACACCTTTCTTTCTTCGTCATGTTTCACAAACCCAACTGGTTGTTTAACATAAACTTCTTCATCTAAGGGTCCATTTAGGAATGCACACTTCACGTCCATCTGACATATGTGCCAACTGTTGATTTCTGTTAGACCAACAACCAACCTGATTGTTTCGATCCTAGCAACAGGTGCAAAAACTTCGTCGAAGTCTATTCCTTCTTTCTGTAGAAATCCTTTCGCCACAAGTCTTGCTTTGTGTCGAGTTATTTCACCTTTCGAATTCGTCTTCACTTTGTATACCCACTTGACATCAATTGCCTTCTTGCCTTGAGGCAATTCGACAAGTGACCAAGTGTTGTTGTCTTCGATAGACTTTACTTCTTCGTTCATTGCTTTCACCCACTTCGAATCCTTTAATTCTTCAGCTGCATTAACAGGTTCGACATCTGCATAGAAAACATAATGTACTAGCTCACCTTCATCATCTATTACATCATCTGATGTAATCACACAATCTTGCAATCTTGCAGGCATGCGTCTTGTTCTTTGAGGTCTGCTTGTACTGGGTATATTTGCTGGCTCCTCTTGTCGAACTTTTCTTTCGACTTGAGTTTCTGGCTCTTCGAATAAGATTCCCACTGAATCTTTCTTGACATTTGCAGTCCAATTCCATTCTTTGAACTCATCTATGATCACGTCCCTGCTGATCACAATCTTCTTGTTCTCTGGATCGAACAACTTGTAGCCTCCTGTCGAATGATATCCAACTAGGATCATTTGACTTGACTTGTCATCAAGTTTCTTTCTCAACTGATCTGGCACATGTCTATGTGCAATAGATCCAAATACTTTCAGATGACTTAAGCTAGGCTTCACACCAGACCAACATTCTTCTGGAGTAATTCCTTCTAGCTTCTTTGTAGGACTTCTGTTCAAAATGTATGTTGCAGTCGAAACAGCTTCACCCCAGAACTCTTTGGGTAAATTCTTGCCTTTCAACATACTTCTCACCATGTTCATGATGGTTCGATTTTTCCTTTCTGCAATTCCATTTTGCTGTGGAGTATAGGGTGGCACCACCTCATGCACAATCCCTTCTTTTTCACATAATCTGTCGAAATCTTTCGACACATATTCTCCTCCACCATCAGTTCTCAAAACTTTGAGCTTTCGACCACTTTGTCTTTCGACCATGGACTTGAACTTGATAAATACTTTGAACACTTCACTTTTCTTCTTGATCAGGTAAGTCCATAGCTTTCGACTGAAATCATCTATGAATGTAATAAAGTATTTGTTACCTCCCATCGAATCCACCTGAATTGGTCCACATACATCAGAGTATATGACTTCGAGATTAGCCTTCGATCTGCTTCCTGCATCCTTGCTG